AAAATAAATTACTTGGTTACTTACTCAATGTCTTGTATTTTCCAACTTTCACCAAATTCAATGGCATTATCCGCAATAGTACCATCAGGCTTCTTGGAAATCATCATGGATATTGTCGTTATAATTGCCCAAAAGTCCACACAGAATTTACCACGATAGTCTGAACCAAAAATATGAACGTTGAAGACGTGTTTCCGCAAAGTCCAATCTAATTTGAAGACGGTATCCTTCAATGTGAAACTCACTAACACCTTTTCGTGTACTTGAGAAACATCGATCTTTGTTAGTCCGGAAAACAATCCATTAAGATTTCCCTATAAAAGAAATTTGAATACATTATTGATATCCCATTTATGGCGACTGCCTGTGTGTTTTTTGTGTGTTTATTCAGTAGGAGTATGAAGAACGAAATGTTGTCATATTCTCATGTTAACTCAGAAGATCCTGTTTTTGTGAGTTTTTCTATACCCTATCTAATGAACGACTACATAACTACACCCATTCGTATACTTGAAGGAAAAAGTCACGATTATCATTTTTACGTCGTAGCAGATTTGACTAATGTCAAGTCTGCACGTTTTGAACTGCATTTTTGGTTTATTTACACTTGTGGTGCAGTAACCCACTAATGACTTACTGTAACTACGTCAAGTCCATTCACACGAACATATTCATCGCCAGCAGTTATGTTAATAGCAACGACCCTGGTTTTGATTTCTTCGTTGCTTCTATTTTGTCGAGGCTCGAATTTAGCAGTTATTTCGAAGTCTGGGTTGACACTGGAGCAGTCCTTTACCAGAGTGTACCAGCATATTCCTTGATGACTGTAATGGCGACCATCCAACGTTGTGAAGTGAGGATCACATCTAACAGCGCCACCAGCTGTTGAAATATTGACAGAATTGTTATTCTCATATAATAATTTGTGTCAACTTGTGTACAATAAGAGCAATTGTCATGGATGTTTATGAAGCATGCTACACTCCTTAGTTTAAATAACCATGTAATCTGCTATTTTATTCGCCCATACTTTTTGTACAAAGATCTTATTTTTGTAAGCGTATTTCGTATGAAATTTCCAATTTTGATTATTAAACACAAATTATCAAATATATTATAAAAATGTAAAATGTAATTAAGAATTTGCTTTATTTGTAAAGTGTAAAAACCTATTATTTTACTGTAAATGGAACTTTCAATTCATTCATTCGTAAAATGCCGTTTTTATTTTCTGTAACCCGTACCAGCTATCCCCACCCTGGCTCTTCAATGTAGATATTATGCTTTATTTTGCAATCGTTGCCATGAGCTGTATTTTGTTGCATATACAGAGCTAAAATGGCCTTTGTACAAATAACTACGGTGAACAGACAGCACGGCAAATTTGATGTATACTGTGTTTGTATAAGTTACTTCATAAAATACTCACAGCATATATCGATATATTTGACCTCTACGGTTCCTTTAATATCAAGAGTGTCTAGATCCCAGGCATACACATCACCCACCAACGTATTTGAATCATCATTCATGACGTCATTGATCTGACTAGTGCTGAGAACGCTTCCCCACAGGTTGAATTTCGTCATCCATCCAACAAACGCTCGACCTGCGACATATCTTCCTCTTAAAAGATCCTGACGCTGACCAAGTACGAGAACACCATTTCCTTTGATCGTGCTCCCCTGTCCTTTATAGCCCCAATCATCCAAATTACCATCAATATATATCTCCCAGCGACCAGTAGAGGACGTCCAGGTGAAACACAGATGGTGGCACTTACCATCGTTCACTGCTGTTTGAGACACCCCGAAACGTTCGTCTTTGATATCCAGTTTGGGACTAATTAGATTCCAGGCTAGTATCTCATTGAGTTCTGTATCACTTATAGCGTAAGAGAATAATGCTACCTTGTTGTCAATGGAGTTGATCCACACACAGGCAGTGAATTCAGTGAGTTCTGGTATCGGTGTAGTGATGGCTACATCAGACTGTTTGTAGAAGTCCAAGAGTGCATTGTTTGCTGGAATATCCACAAATACGGAGAATTATTTATATCATTGTTGCAGTTCACTAGTATCCACATTTTCATCTGCGTTTCAACATTGAATGTACATTTGGAAATCTCGTGAATGTATAATAAGAACCACATAATACTGAATAATAATCGTATTGTAGAAATTATGAACAGCATATCAGAAATGGGAATTGGGCAGGTACTTTGTATTTCACGAAGGAAAAGTAGGAAATTGTACAATGTCGATTGAAAATCGTATGTGATATGCATCTGAACTAGTATATTATAGATTGGAAATCGCATAATGAAGATATGAAATCGCACAATGAAGATTGGATATCGCATAATGAAGACTGAAAATCACATAATGAAGACAAGAATTCGCATGATGAAGATTGGATATCGCATAATGAAGATTGGATATCGCTTAATCAAGATAAAAAATAGCATTATGAAGATAAGGAATCGCATTATGAAAATTAGAAATCGCGTAATGAAGATTGAATATCGCATAATGAAGACTGGAAATTACATAATGAAGACATGAAATCGCATATTGAAGATTGGATATCGCATAATGAGATTGGATATCGCCTAATCAAGGTAAGAAATAGCATTATGAAGATAAGGAATCGCATTATGGAAATTAGAAATCCCATAATGAAAATTGGAAACCGCATATTGGAGATAAGAAATCGCATAATGAAGATAAGAAATCGCATAATAAAGATTAGAAATCGCACAATGAAGATTGGAAAAGTAATTGCATAATATGAAGTGGTAATCGGATTATGTAGATTGAAATTAGCATAATTAGAATGCACAAAAAAGAAGATTGGAAATCGTATGTAATGTACAAATACCGAGTATATTGGAAACCGCATAATGTGGATTAGAAATAGCAACAATTTCAAATGGACTTTAATAAACAAATAAACCAACTACTTACGGTTCCGTTTAGTCAACGATTTCTGAAATTAAAATGTGTGAGATCGAATGAATGATTTAGAATCACTATCATAATGATGCATGTGTTGGAGTGTGTTCAAAATTGCATGGCTATACTATGTGTGAATTATAAAACAGGCTTGCTTAGTTTAAAACAAGTCTCCATGGAAACAATTTGTCACCTGCAAATGATTACGTGCATAGTAGAATGGTGTTTCAGGTAACGCCATAATGAAGTATGCGTCTGTATTGGGTCCATGCTTAGCCCACACCTGTGTCTGGTCTGAGTGAGTGCGTTCGTATATATTAAAGTATTTGCTCACATACTGAACGCGTTGAACATAGAACAGCAATTACTGACTATGGAGCATCTATGGCTGGGGCAATTTGGTCAGCTTCGTTTTGATGTGGGTACTTGCAAGTGGAATATTCAGTTGTTGAAATCGTTGTATGTAAAAGTTGGTTTACAGAGTAACGCTTGGACAATCAGTTGAAATAATAACATAACAAATTCAATTTCCGTATTTCTGCGTATTATTTTGGAAAAGTTTCTAGAAGTGATACCAAGAAACCTTTGAATAATTTGTCGGTGAAGTCCTTTTACATTGAAGAAAATTGGTACATTTTAACTTGTTTTCAGTATTCTAGGAAAAGACCGAAAATGTTGATTGCGATGAAAGCCTGTTAAGATGCAATATTAACTACGGATCTGTTGTATTTCCTGGTGTTGTAATAATGTTTATTATATCATGCATGCACTGTGTATGTATGTAAGTTTACTTCTGATAAATGTGTATAACTGTTTTTGTATTATTAAAGCTTGTCGCCTGTGCAATTTATTCTGAAAAAAAAATGGTATTACCTGGTCGTCAGTTCTAGTCGCCATCACATGGAAGACACACATGCACGAAGTGATGTAGAAAAGTAAATACGACTTCATTCTAGAAACATAAACACCGATTTTAATGGTAACACAACGTTAATACAATTCACATTGCCAGTGAATGGATTGACACGGCAGAATAGATAACTGGACGTTTCATGCAGTTGATTTTCACCTGCTAATCTTTCCATGAACAAGTAATAAAGGTGAAATCTCGTAGTTATGGCTTTATTATTACGTTCATCATTAATTTGCATATATAGCGTTCAAAGGAGGTTTGGGCCGAACAATATAATTGAATAATTATAATCTGGCGTTGTAATTCATAACAATGCCTAACATATTTTCATAAAATAATTGAACTTCAAAAACACGTACATATCCGGTTATTTGCGTTGTATATTTTCAGTTGTGTATTTCTAATACCAGTGTATAATTTCATCTAAATACCAGGATATGGTAATAACTGAATTGGTTATTGCCTGCGTTGCGATGCTTCTCAATCATGTTGTAACTATGGCGTTAAAATAAATCGAATAAATTCGTTTCATTGCATCACTTTAGCTTAGACATAGCAATAGCACTTTGCCACTAATTAACCTGATACTAGAAGTCAAATATTTCCACAAAATGTATAGAATTCATAGTTCTGTCTTTAATGCTTCGTGCTTAATATTTGTAACAAGTAAAGAAATGCACATCTACAGAACATTGAGAGACACTGTTTTGACAAAACATTCCTTTTAGTGTGAACAAAAGTTAAAATATCGAGAGAACATCTCTATATCAAAAAAGCAAACCCAATGAACCGCGCATCGTTTGGTTATGAAAAAAGGGTTATTGTATAGAGTGGTTGTCTCCTTACCGAGACCTACACATATCCCCTGAACACTACACATATCTAGTGAATCTTCCCAATAAAAGTTTTGCTGACAGTACAGTTATGCAATATCACAAATACGCATTTACACAGCTCAAACATAATGCAATTATGGTAGACTCACCTTACTCTGTCGGTTGGATGCTTGGATGCTCTAGATTGAACTCTGGATTCTAGACTGTCCAGATGACCGAATGATGTGTCTCCCTGGGGGTAATAAGTCCTATATATAGTGCGGTTGCAATTTTTACATATTCCTCTTCACAGCCGTGTTTTCAAATTGCAGATCATTCAATCATGAATGTGTGACGAAATGCTTGATATCGAGGCAAATCATATGCATACGTAACATTAATAATGTATATGGGGTAAGTACAGGTTGACGTGGGAATTGTTTATAAACTATCTTTGTTAATTATAAATATATATTATCATATCACAACTAGCCATTAAAATATACTGCCGAATCAATAATTTAAACACTTGAGCATGAACAAATATAATTAATGTGAGGTTTGAACTTTAAACTTTGAATATATTATGTATTATATATGTATTGTTGGTAGTTTTTGGCGCTTGGTATTTGTTAAATGTCGACTAGTACTGGCAAAATAACCATCGTTAAAGGACTCTCCACCATGTTTGTACTGGTTTAATATAGTGAAATTCACGTATTCTTGCGTTTTATTTTACTCGCCAGATTTTGAGCGAGTAAAATTGTGCAACGACAGTTTCGGCTGCTGCTATTGTACCATAAGTACGACGAGAAGCAAAAACGGACGGGCTGGTATTTAGAATTCGAAAGATTATGACGTACATCCAAAAATTGACTTCTCAAATAACGTTACATAATTGCTTCAAAACACCCAACCTAAAATTAGCATCCCGACCCGCAATAAATGTTGCCAGGAAACCTTCTTTCTGCCCCCTGTTCTAAATGCGCATTCCAAATCTCTACATATTATGCATATAGCAAATCATGTTAATCTCCATTTGTTATCCATTTAGTATCCATTCTCACAAATAATGAAACGATGATGTGGACACTTTTAATTCCCTACTAAGTGTACACTCACGACAGTCGCACCCACAACTGTCTGAGGATGGGAAGATAGGTCTGGGTGGGGTTAACAGTTTATCCCACGCATAATTTGATAACTGTCATTTGAAAACATCCAACGGAAATTTGAATCGAAGCATATATGAAAAGCAAAATTTTACTCCTCAACAACATAGCTGCTGTCTGTATATGACTTGGTTTGCGTTGACAATCGCATTCACTTATAACTGCTGGAACAATTTTTGGTTCCGTTTTTGTTGGCAGTTATACCACTCTTAACCTTGTACCAATTGTGTCTAACCAAGGTGTTTATTTCAGCATTGACGTTGAACATATTCATTCTTTGTCAGCATTTAAAAATAATGTACCCTTTCTTATTTTGTCTTCTATATTCTTTTTATTCATATAATATTACATTACTTCAAATTATTTTTACATGTCAAAAAGATAAGAAAAAAGAAAATTAACAGCACTAAAATGTAGTAATAAAAGAAAAGAGAAGAGGAAATGGGGGATGTTAGTGCGTGTGCGGATGGGGGGGGGGTAGATTCATTCCTATTTTTTATAAATTCTTGGATGGCATTAATTTACAATGAATGTGGAGGAAGGGGGGGGGTAGATTCATTCCTATTCTTTTATAAATTGTTGGATGCCATTAAAAATTACCTTACAAATCTCCTTCAATCACTTGCAGTTCTTTGCGCCATTTGTTTTCAAACTTTTTTCAGTTAAAACATTTTCTTTTAATGTCACTTTGGTTTCTGATTTTACTCATATGATAAACTACTGTTGGGCTATAACCAGTGAACCTGCTACAGGGATATTTTCCAAATTGTTCATTGTAATACCTATTTTCTTTAAAATATAGTTTTCATTTGTCAAATATTTATTCCATTGTTTCAACTCAACAATAGTCTTTTTTGAATAATTGAACCCACAACCTTACAATTGAACCTCTGATAGCATTATCAAATAATATTTGTTTTTTATTATCGCATTGGGCTAATACCATCTCATCTAAATTTTCATCTATTTTTTCTTCCGAATTCTGTAATTCAAGAATTAGTTCATTTTCCCTATTTCGTCCTTTTTATGTTTTTTTTTTGTTGAAAATTCAAATGTCGCTTCTCTAATTTTAAAAACTCGAACAAAGCTTGATCATCCATATGTTTATTTTCATCCACTACACTAGAGATCAGTATATTAATCATTTTTGAATACAAACTATCGCTTAATAAGTCACAATTAAACTCCCACAAATCAGGTCATCTAACCTCCCCGTCTAGAAACGGCTGTTGCATAATACCCGCTGTGCTCGGACTGCGCAGAGTATGGCTTTCCGCGAAGCATAATCTCTTGGGAGCAGAACATTTTATTGAAACGATCGATTCATTGTTCCCTTCATATTCTAGTTTTTACAACCGAAAAAAACCCATATATGTTGATACTATATATGGATTTAGAAGCTGAATACAATTATTTAGCTGGCAAGTCTTTTCATAGTGACATATCGACATTATTATTCGTGAATATCGCACTTAAATTTGAGGTACTCTTCTAACAACCTTGACCGGTTGGCCCCTTCTATTCGTCATGTGTTTTAGAAGGATCAGTGTTTTTTTTGTTTATTGGTTAGCTTAAACATAGTTGTAGTTGGTGGATCGGTTCATTGTGCTTGTTTCCGTTCAAAATAAAGATGGCCTCTCGCCGATTCATTTGCCTTTCGAATTTTCGTCATTTTTTTTGTTTCCAAGCATATATTTTGAATGTAGTTTACAATGGCAAGAATAAAATCCTGCAGTATCAATTCTTTAGCACTGCCAGAAATTGAGTAGGCAGACTTTTTTGCTTCAATGAGAATTTATTTACGGGCGCCATTTTGTTTTTGATTGACTAACTTACTCGACGCGGTGTCAGCGGGTTGCCCTCTTTTATAGTAAGAAAACAGCATTCAACCATAATATTATTTTCATGTACATTTACCTTTTGGTGATGTGGTTAGTTTTTCTCTCGGATGTTCGTATTTTGATGAATTACGGTAATATGTTCTATTCTGTTTGCAGTTTAGCTTCATGGCTAATTGTCCAAGGTGTGAACGGTTTATTTACGCGCAACCAGCCCTGGGACAATATACTGCGAAGCGTTTCCATACCTAAGATAGAGGGATTGTGGTACAAGGCATGATGTCAATCTTCCTAATATTTCTTATTACAGATGGCCTATCACATCTTTTATCCATTACTGGATCAAGAGGGATATTTAGATCACCTCTAACTACCAAATTACAGTTTGGAAAGTTAATTAAATTATTAATTAATTAAACCTTTTACAGTTGCCAAGAATTCCATTTGTTCTTTTTTTCCTTCTTGGGTACATATACATTTGCTATGACTAAAACAAGATCATTAATTTCTACTTCAACACAAATATACCTCCCATCCTTTTCCAGCACCTTGTTTCTGAAAGTAACATTTAAAGAAGCACACGTGATGAAAATCGGCGGCAGCTATAGTCGACGTAGCTTCATCACGCGCCTAAATGTTACACAAACTACCTTGTCTGGTGGGCAGGTTCTATACATAAAAAACTGAACAAAAAAGAAACAATGGTACCAAATAAAAAGTGAAAGAAATACATGTCACAAGTCAAGCATACCTGGCTTTAGAAATGTTAGTTAAAGGTGTTTACAATTACAGTAAATCACAAGCCATTAAAGAAAACTGACTCTTGTGGCTACCAGTTTGTGGCAGCACATATACAATCTCGTTTATATACAATAAGCCGTTCGTAAACCTAACTCGCTTACCATCCTTGTATGCAGAATCCCTAATCAGATGAAGCTTCTTTTTAGTTTTGTAGTCGATTGGGCATAAATCCGTCATAATACACACAGTAGAATATGTGAAAGCCACCCCCGACTCGAAGCGGGAATTTTTCAATGATTAGGCTTAGCTTCAACTCCTAATTCACGAGTTGGCCTGGCCGTAACACAGTGTGCGTTATCAATAAGAATGTCAATTTGAGTTTATCTTCAATCAAAATTTGAACAATAAAAAAACAGTCTTCACCTTTTGTTTCAGAATGTCCCCAAAAACGTAAATTAAAACCATGCGAATATCTCTCTAACTTGACTGTAGTTGATTCCAATCATTCTCATTCTTTGTAGTTTTGTTTGGTGTTTTATCTATTTCATATTTTTGCATTAATCCGTGTTCCATTGTCTTCGTTGTCATTGGTGACGTAATCCAAAGATTTATCGTAGACGGCACATTGCGATTTAATACCGACCATTCATTCAAAAAAAACCTTATGTTTTTCATTCACAATAGGCGAAACACGTGCTGATGCATCTTCGACTTTTTGCTCTAGCGTCTGTAGACATTATTTAATTACCGATGTGAAGGTTGAAATTGAAAACTTCCCGCTTGCTGAGTCACCGCCATCTTGAAAGTAGTGAGAAGCCTCATTCCGTATTTTTCTTTCTGGCCTCCGCTGCGACTACTCGAAGCCAAAATTATGAAAAACACACAGAAAATATAGATGAAACTGTACCATTACTGGTAGACAGAATATAGAGATCTTTATACACTACTTTATATGAAATAGTTCACGGAGACGATGTGACACGCTGCTCACTCCACCATGTCAACTTTGCACTCCTTTTTTGTTCTAAGCAGTCTTCGTTTACTAGCCTTTGTTTTTAAACAATACCCATTTATTTGAATAGAACTGTTTCATTGTCTGTATTCTAGTTTGTTCCCACATCCAAAATTGCCCTTAGGTCGCAAAAAAGCTAGGCATGAACGAAGATCTCATAGTTATTGTGGTGTCACTGCTGATCACGTTAATTGAAGACCAGGTTAAAGATACAACGAAAATTGGCATTCGGGCTTTAGTGTTGAACAATTAATAATGTGATCGATTTTTAGTATTCCCAAATTATAGATTTAAAATTATGATTATTGTTAATCAGTTAGCATGAATTTGTTGCATGAGGTTATCATTTCATTTTAATACGATTGTTTAAATATATGCCAGCATTGATATAGCAGCAAATACAACTATGTAATTTTGATACAGGCAGGACAGTTAACATCGAATGTTGACATAACAGTACAAGAGAGCAGTGGATTGTTTGTTTGTTTGCATCTAAAACTGTAATAGCACTATGCCCCAACATAATAACAAGTTTGTAAGAAGAAATTAAGACTAAGGTACTATTGCTGCATGCATCACCTAATGGAGCTTGCATACGAATAAGGATACCAGTAATACCATTGCTTTAGCTGCATCAGTTGTACACGACAATTGTTCACAGACGATGCCAGCCAAGACTTAACGAATAGGTACAGTGTTGTTGTTTGGAGGAGTACAGAAAATTGCGATGAGACTTGCGATGGTCTTGATCCCAACCAATGATGGACTAGATGTTGACAAACTAGTAAAATCCCGGAAAACAGCCTTAGAGAGCAAATACAATGATAACCAAAAATGGTCTACAATATTAATTGTCCAGCCTCAATTTGGTCGGAAATCCTTCGACTTTTTGTGTCAGAATACCTAATTAAATGTGTCACGATATAACGCCACTTCAAGAGATTTTGTCCCATTTCCTAAAAAATTGCTGGTTACCTAAAAGCGCGATTATCGTCGCGCAGCGCGTGTTCAAATTTCATGTAAACAACCAATGTATTTTACATGTGTTGTATATGTCGCTATGAGTCCCATATCGAACAGGACGCGGCGCGACGACTGCCACCCTTTAACTACTGAGCTCGTGAAAAGAACCATCTTATTTTTGGTTATTAAATACAAGCTTTTACAAGCTGTACATCTGCCAGTATTCTGTTACAAACATCACCAAATTTGTGAATACTATTCTTATTATTACTACCTATCAACCTCGGTATACTGATGGTAAACCAATAACATGGATTACTTAATTTACGTTCATATGACAAACCGTATTAACACTGGAGGTCCTGGCAGGATAAATATTGGCGACATAACGACATGCCATGGCATTGAGTATAATCAGCAGCTCTTCGACTGCATTGTTGTTCTTAATTTCTATGACAAAGAAACTGATTTATAATTACGGATATTGTCAATCAATCATAACTGTTTATATAGCTCTGAAGACACTGTTACTGTTACATTTTTTTCTTTCATGATGTGCTGCTATTACAAAAAGTCAAATAAATGTAATGTGTCATTAAAATATTATTCGTTTCATTGTTTTCACCTCCTATATCTGACCAATTCAAAGGCAATTTGCATATTATCTTCATCATTTGTTTTTTTCTATTTTTTCAATGAAGGTGGTGTTTTTGACAGCTTTTACCATGTTCTAGAACATTCTGACCCCAAACTCAGTTGGCGATTAGAACGTCATTGCCTTCATACATCCATATACGTCATTTTGACGTCACAGTAGCGCATGTAGACGGGGATTTACATATTAATTATGTATTGGTTGAAACATTTTACTACATTCTAGTTGACTGACCACTACACACCAACACTCAGTTACCGACAACCATATGTTACACACGCACCCATCTGTTGTGGTAAATTTTAGAATTAAAGCTTTTCTAATGTACATCGTGTGACTTGCACAACAATAAATGGGAGAATCACTATTAACATACAAATCGTGCAATTTGTTCAACTTTGCTTAAATGAATTTTAATACACTACCATGCCTCGTGAATATGTCACATGGAATATTATTAATATCCTTTGATATTTCACAGGTTGTACATGCTAACCTTTTTACCACCAGTCCTCTCTTTTCATCACCAATTCACAAAATAACGTTCCTTTCGAAGATTTGAACACAAATTGCCAATCTTGTTGACTAAATTTTCTCTGTTGGCGACTGTGGGATATTGATTGTTACACTAGCAACCGTTTTGCAAGGTCTTACACCTCAAAATATTCTGTGATTGCTAAGTCAAATCTTTGTGCGCATGAATGACCCCAAAGTTCTACATTGTCAGCTACAATTTCCCAACAGGAATTGCGAGATCATCGTCATACGAATGAGACTAAGGACACAAAAACGGCTTGGAAAACATTGATTATTCCTGCACCGCTAAACTAATGTATTATGCTTAGTATTCACTCCCAACTGCAGAGGTATTTAGAGATAATATTAGTTGTCAACACTAACAACGAACAGTTCAAATCAGCCACAGATTTGTTTAGCATATGCAGCAACCAAGAACAGATTCATATAGTGTGATATTTTATTCAGTGGTTTAGGTGCCGATTGTTTGAAGTGTTTTTACAAATGACTCAACTACACATAGTCACATTTTATACCATATTTTTAATTACACCAGAAACACTGAAACATAGATAATTAATCCCCTTCACCAAAACAACAAAGGATTCTAGGCGCCAATAACCGCAGAGATATCGTTGATAGCGTGAGTGTTTCGTTTACGGATTGTGTCAACTGTTCCACTAATGTAACGAAAGTATTTGGAAAATCATTAGGTAATGCCTATAAAAAGGATATTTCGAAATAGTTAAGTAATATTTGTTAAGCAATGCACGTATATCCTCTAATAACCTCTAAAGAAAATTGATAAATTCATAAGTACTCAATAGACTTGTAAACCATATTGGCTTCATCGCTTGATACCTCGATCAATTGCACCTGTTAATAAAGAGAATGCATTAAACCATGTAAGACTATAAATACATGTAATACATGTCAACTTTCATATATTATGTAACCAATAATCCGTTGATTCACAGTACAATGTTTTGTTTCAGAGTGAATAAGCTTCTCCAACAATATGAATATTACTGGGAAAATAGAACTGGATACGAGCAGTTTGTGTTACAGCAGTAGAATAAGTTACATACAAATTATTATTTAGCAAATTATAGTCACATGCAACGCTCACTATATTATCACATGTTTTTACCATTGATGTTATGTTTTTGTCGGCACTGGTTTGTTTAATGTGATTATTCATCCATCTGGGTCCTCAAATACCTCAAATAATTATAACAAGAACCACTCGATGCCATGGTTCAATTTTGTTAAAAGAACTTTTCACTACCTCGAGATTACTAAAAAGATATTTTTCGCAACATTCTTAAGATTTTATTGACAAATTCTTCATCATTACCAGATAAGTCTAAATAGATTAAGATCTGTTTAAGAAGGGGTAACCCTCAAGATAAAACATGAACCAATCAATTACATTTCGGGGGAGATATACATCTGGTTACCATGGGAGGGTTCATCACCATTGATAGGTAAGGGCACTATAAGAATAAGTATGTTTAATAGTGTGGAGGGTATGCACTGCCGGAGTGCCTTTTAGTTATATATTAGTTTGGTCGTTATTTAAATATATAGAACAATAACAAACACTAATCATTGTCTCAACCAAAGTACTGTCTTGGTCATGAATTTGCATGTTAAGTTTATGTGACCTAATTCAGAATGTCAAAATGAGAGAAGTTAAAATAAAATACTAGGTTACTTACTCAATGTCTTGTATTTTCCAACTTTCACCAAATTCAAAGGCATTATCCGCAATAGTACCATCAGGCTTGTGGAAATCATCACGGATATTGTCGTTATAATTGCCCAAAAGTCCACACAGATTACCACGATAGTTTGAACCAAAAATATGAACGTTGAAGATGTGTTTCCGCAAAGTCCAATCCAATTTGAAGACAGTATCTTTCAATGTAAAACTCATTATCACCTTTCTGTGTATTTGAGTAACATTTATTATTGTCGGTCCAAAAGACAATCCTTTAGTATTTCCCTGTAAACAATTTGAATACATATTAGTATCCCATTACTGTTGACGTTCTTTGTCCATTAAGTGCATTCAGTAGGAATAAGATGAACGAATTTTATGCTCTCAAGTTTAACGGAAGATCCACCTTTGAAATACAACTTCAAAATCACCTAATATATTAGGCTAGGCTTTTGGGGTAAGCAGGGTCCTCTAGTGACGAAGCGTTCCCGTGTCAGAAATAGTGACAAAACCTTTGATATTGTTTTGATCTGTAGTCGTCTCTCAATAACAAAATAATGGTGCTGAGAGTTGTTCTATAATCTAACCGAAGAACGACTACACAACCAGCCATATTCGTCTACTTGAATGAAAAAACATTCAAGCAATCTGCATACATTTTACGTCACAGCAGGGCGTTGTCACTAGAGTAAGCCCAACAGCACTGGTCAGCTGTAGATTATTTTCATTTGCTGTATAGTAACTGACTAACCGTAACTACATCAAGTCCATTCACGTGAACATATTCATCGCCAACAGTTATGTTAATAGCTACGACCCTGGTTTTGAATTCTTCATTGGTGCTATTTTGTCGAGGCTCAAATTTTGCAGTTATTTCGAAGTCTGGGTTGACACTGGAGCAGTCCTTTACCAGAGTGTACCAGCATATACCTTGATGGCTGTAATGACGACCATCCAAGGTTGTGAAGTGTGGATCACATCTAACAGCACCACCAGCTGTTAAAATAATGACAGTGTCGATAAGCGGTGCGTTTTAATCTCATATAATAAATTGTGTCAATGTGTGTATAATATGAGTAAGGGTCATGGCTATTTATGATTACATTACCCAGCATGCAACACCCCTCACTTTAAATAACCATGGAAAAAAATCAGACTTGTTGATAATCTATATATTTTGCATTGTTTTTTCAAATCCCGAGCTGCATTTTATTACATATACAGAGCTAAAATTCCTTTGTACGAATAACTATGGTGAGCAGATACATAACGCCACCTTTAAACCCACAAGCGATATACTGTGTTTGTATAAGTATAATACTCACAGCATATATCGATATGTTTGACCTCTACGGTTCCTTTAATATCAAGAGTGTTTAGATCCCAGGCATACACATCACCCACCAACGTATTTGAATCGTCATTCATGACATCATTGATCTGGCTAGTGCTAAGAACGATTTTCCACAGGTTGAATTTCGTCATCCAACCAACGAACGCTCGACCTGCGATATATCTACCTCTTAAAAGATTCTGACGCTGGCCAAGTACGAGAACACCATTTCCTTTGATCGTCCTCCCCTGTCCTTTATAACCCCAATCATCCAAATTACCATCAATATATATCTCCCAGCGACCAGTAGAGGACGTCCAGGTGAAGCACAGATGGTGACACTTACCATCGTTCACTACTGTTTGAGACACCCCGAAACGCTCGTCTTTGATATCCAGTTTGGGACTAATTAGATTCCAGGCTAGTATCTCATTGAGTTCTGTATCACTTATAGCGTAAGAGAATAATGCTACCTTGTTGTCAATGGAGTTGATCCACACACAGGCAGTGAATTCAGTGAGTTCTGGTATCGGTGTAGTGATGGCTACATCAGACTGTTTGTAGAAGTCCAAGAGTGCATTGCTTGCTGGAATATCCACAAATAAGAAGAATGATTAATTACATTGTTGCAGTTCACATACGAGTATCCACATTTCCATCATGTACATTTGGAAATCTCATAAACGTATAATAAGAACTGCATAAAAGGATAGTTATCGTATTGTGTAGATTATAAACCTAATATACGAAATTGGAAATTGGTCATGTAGATTGAAATTCACACAAGAAAAGTTGGAAATTGCACAATGTAGATTGGAAATCGTATGTAATATTCACCTTAACTCGCATAATGTAGATTCAAAATCGCAGAATGAAAATCAAATAATATAGTCTAAATCGCATATTGTATATTGAAATGTACATTAGGTGAATTAGAAATCACAAAAATATCAATTGCCTAATAAATTTTAACCTAGCTACTTACGATTCCGTTTAGTCACCAATTTCTGAAATTAAAAAAAAATTGAATTGGAATGAATGATTTTTAATCGCAATCATAATTGTAATATGTGTTGCATATTTATACTATGTGTAGAATAAAACATGCTTACTTACGTTAAAACATATTTCTATGGCAGCAATGTGACACCTGCAAAGTACGTGCGTAGTATACTGGTATTTCGGACAACACAATAATTAAGTATGCGTCTGTATTTGACAACATGGTTAGCCCATTCATGTTCTTTGTCTGAGTAAGTCCGTTCGTATTTTTTAAAATATCGCCTTACACACCACACGACAACAAATACTGGTTATGGGGCATCTATGGCTAGGGCAATTTGGTCAGTTTGTTTTGATGAGGGTACTTGCAAGCAGGATATTTAGTTTAGGTACTTTGATTCATTGTATTGGTTCCTGTTTCATATCCTATCTGATGTGGTCTAAGCTGAAGTAACATGTTCAAATCTCGTGAATATTATTTTAGTATTCTGACAAATGCTGAAAGCGTCGAATACGATGAATGCAATATTGACCAAGGTTCTTATAATATCTGCTGCTTTTCCTGGTGCAAAGATACGATTATTTCTGATTATCGATTAATTCGAATTTAAATGACATCATACATATTTGTATTGCTATTGAAAAGAGACATATTCCCAACCGTCTAGATATTTTGTTACTCAAGACAACAATTAGCAAACTATTAATTTCTAAATTGATGTTAAATGTGTTGTTAAATGTATTATTAAAACTTGTCATCTATGCCATGTATTCTGAAAACAAGTTCCATTACCTGGTTTTCAACTGTAATCGCCAACACACGGAAGACACACAGACACGAAGTAATGTAGAAAAGTAAATACTTCATCCTAGAAACGGAGACACCAATTTTTATTTTGAAAGAACGTTAAAACTATTTACACATACTTGTTTGAGCACTCGTGATTATGGGCGTTTCATGAATTTGATATTTCATCTTTAAGTGAACTAGTAATCAATGTGGTTTTGTTATTACGTTCATCGTGTAATTTGCATATGTATCAAACAAAGGAAGTTTTAATGTAATTGAATGATAAAAATTGGACGCTGTAATTCAAAACAATGTATAATGTTATTTTAAAATAACTGAACTTCAAAGACACGAGCATATCTGAAAGATGGTTATTTACGTTGTATATTTTGTATTTCTAATACTTACTAGTCCATATTACCACGACATGGAAATATCTAAAACGGATATGTCAAAACTAGACTATTCCGATTCCAGGAACAATCATTGTAAAACAATATTGATTGAACTGGCCAAGTTTGGTTTTTTAATCCGTGTACACAAAATTGCTTGCATTGCGTTATTTGTCAGTCATGTTATAACACTGGCATTAAAATTAAAATTAAAAAAATCGGCAAAAGAAATCCATAATTCATTATAACAATTCATTATAACAATTCATTATAAGTGATGTCAATATAATAATCATATTTCAATTTAAAAAAAAATGAATTGAAGTCAAATATGTTCACGAAATGTATAGAATTTAATGTTTTGTCTTCAATGGTTCGTGCCTAATGATAACCTGTATCTGATATGTTTGTGCTGAGGTCTTGCAATTGCATGTTCAGCATTGTCAACGCAACACAATCTAAGCATATTTACCGTGTTTCACGAGTATATTTCTCTTCACTGAGAAAGTAACACATGAAATAATGCAGTGACTATGAGATCATGTCGCCATTGCAAATGAACTGCGAACAAAACACATCTAAAGAACACTGAAAGACACTTTCTCGATCAGTGTCCATAACTTTATTTTTGACAGATCTTTCAACATTTTTTGCGGTTTGAAAAAAAAAGTTAAAATATCGAAATAACATCTCACAATCAGGAGACTTTTACCCACTTTTTCGCTATATGAAAACACACACAAACCCAATGATCAGTGTATCGTTGGGTTATGAAAATGGGTCTTTGTATCGAGTGGTCGTCTCCTGACTGAGACCTACATGTAGACCCGATCTAGGGAAATTTCCGAATAGTGTTTTGCTGACAGTATATATTTATACAATACCACAAGTACACATTCGAACACAGCTCGAATATAATGTAATGGTAGAATCACCTTACTTTGTCGGTTGGATGCTGGAAAGTTAGTTCTAGATTATAAGACCCTGCTCAACTGCTCATTTTTCTCTGGCGTATATATATAGTTTGCAATTTTCTCTTTCAACCGTGCTTTACATTTTCAGATCATTAAATCATGATTGTATGACGGAATGTATGATATCGAGGCAAATCACATGAATAACTATCATTAATAATGTATATGGCGGTGAGTACAGGTTTACCTGGGAATTGCCTCCAAACTATCTTTGTTAATTATAAATATAACTTCGTAAAATTATTAGATATTAAAATATACTTTAATATATATGCCGAATTTACAATTTTAACCACTTGAGCGTGACCAAATATAATTAATGTGAGGTTTGAATTTTAAACTTTGATATATATTATATATATATTGTTGGTGCTTATTATTCTGTTGAAATGCTGATATAGTACTGGTCAAATGTTTATCCTTAAAAGAAGCCCAACCCTTTTAGTACTACTGGTTTGGTATACAGGAATTTGCATGTTGTTGCGTTTTACTTTAATCGCCAGATTCTGAATGAATTGCTATACTGCTAACGGCTGCTGTTATATATATTGTACCATAAATTTGATGAGGAGCAAAAACGGACGGGCTGGAAAGTATTTAGAATTCGTACATCCAACAATTGACTTCTTAAATAACATCACATAATGGTCCCAAAACACCGAACCTAAATTAGCATCTCGACACGCAATAAAAGTTGCTAGGAAACCGTGTTTATGCTGCCTGTTCTAAATATGTATTGCAAATCCATACATATTAAGCATATTAAAAGTCATGTTAATCTCCATTCTCACAACTAATGAAACGATGATGTGGTCTGATAATCTGACGGACTCTCCATTTATGGTTGTATATGTCCGCTTCCACAATAGTGTACGCCATGCGTCATAATTTTCTATATTTCTCACTACATGACCGATTTCAACAACATTTTGTCTGCTTTGCCCTTAGTTCGCACATAGTAGTTGTTTTGGTATTGGCTTTTTGTACAGTCACTTTGTCCATGCGTTTGTGTCTAAAAAGTAAATAACAGTATATAAAAACACCACGATAGTACAAACTCATTTTGGTCTGTTCTGTAGATATCCCACTTGACGCCTCGACAGTTACAACTGACATGAACACAACGGAAAAAAATATTACAACTGCGTTCAAACAAAGTTATCATTCATTCTAGTCCGAATCGACCCGATATTCGACTTTCAATGACTTGCATACAGAGCAATAATACGGGCTGCTTAGACTGACTAGTTAATGATGAATCATGCCGTGTGCCTTTTTTCAATCTATGAATGCAATGTCATCGAATCGGAAACTCGTAGTACAGCGGTAAGAGGTTTAAGCACTGTGCGAGATTGCCTGTAACCGTATCAAGTGTTTTTGTTGTCATCGTCAACATTGTATTTGATCGTCTTCAGTACATAGCAGCTTTGAGCATTCATGTTTTGATGAATATTTCAGTAACTTATAAATGAGATCAGTACCAGTCTGTGTAGTGAACCACTAAGATACCCTGGCACGGGGTTGTGACGAAAAGGATTTTTACAGAAAAAAAGTTTGCGTTTAGTATTCCCCCTCCAAGTTTCTAGTGGCTGAGCTGTAGGTGGGGATAAAGAGATAAATATAATTAAATAAAAAAAAAATATCGCAAGCAAATGATTCGGTTGTTCCAGTCCTTGTCATCATAACCATTTTCAAAACGACTCCACGTAAAAGAGTGAGCTTTTCTCTTGCTGAGAAGTGCTTTCATTTTCACAAATATTATTAAGAATGTTGTATAACCGGTCACTGGTAGCATAGTGGTTGTCGCATCAGACTCGGTGATCGGTAGACCCAAGTTCAAATCCTACCTTAGGCTGAACATCAAACGGGTCGACCCCTACCCTAGATGAGTGTGACACAGGCTCAATGGGAAGGCCAATTCCACTGGCCGAGATTCATTCACTAACGAATGCGACTTCGGGGGAACCTTGGTTAAGGTCCGCAGATGCTTGTGTTTGACCGAACCTGGTTGACGCCAGGATAGCGCATTGAAACTGCCATTTGATAGGGAGATGGCCACACAGCCCTGTCATGTAGTCCCAAACAGTAAATGCCTTCTTTGACAAAATGCACTATGTGTTAGCACTAGCACTTGCAATTTGCAATTACAAAAAAGAAAAAGAAAGTCAGGAGAGACAACAGCGACATTCAATGTCCGGAACTGTTGCCTGGCACAAAAGCATTTAAAAAAAATGTTGTATATGCATAATTTATGTCTAACAGAGGAGTAAATAGAGTAAATCAATGTTGCTCTAACATCTGACATGCATTTTGCCGTCGTCTTCAGGACTAGCAACATTGATATTGAAAACTTAATCATGCACAGGCATGCTTATAAGTGTTATCATCATTCTAAGAGATCTTGGACTATTAATAACACATATTAATCTACAAGCTTGTATAATGTTAGAACTTCAACCATTTTTGTTTATTATTGTTTTTGCTCTCTAATGTTGTTTTCCTGGGCTTTTCTAGTTTGTCAACATCTAAAATATGTCTTTCTGCTTTTGTATCATCGTAGGATGGTGTGTTCATCTTGTTTAGGATGTTGATGTTTTTTCTGCAATCCTCCAAACAGCAACGCTGTACCTATTCATTAAGTTCTGGCTGACATTTTTTTGAAACAAATATTGCGAACCACTGATGCAGCTAAATCAATGGCATTACTGGTATCTATATTCGTAATGCAAAATTCATAAAGTGTTGCATGCAGAAATAGCACATGTGTCTTAATTTCGTCTACAAGGTTTTATTATGTAAGTTGTGACATAGTGCTATCATAGTTTCAGGTGCAAACATAGAATTCACTGCCCTCTTGTACCGTTTTGTAGCATTGTTTCTTATTATAGAAACATCAATGTCAACATGGGATGTTAACTATCCTGCCTGTATATGTTGGAATAGCCTACAAAAAAAATTGCAAATATTTAAACAAATATATATTTATCATAAAATGATAACCGTCTTGGTTTTTGGTTATTAAAATTTTACATGCTTTACGTTCCGTCTGCTATCACCAAATATGTTACCTATTAACCTCGGTATAGCGAGGGTAAACTAATAACGTATTTCCGGATTACTTAATTTATGTTCATATGACAACCCAAATATACATAATTTCAATGACATTGACTCTAGACAAGAAGCGCTGGGCAAGATTAATACAGGCGTCATAGCAACATAGCATGGCGTGACATTGATTATACTCAGCAGTTCTTTGACTGCATTCATGTTCTTAATTTCTATGACAAAGAAATAGATTTATAGTCACGGATATATCCAAACAATCATAAAGTGTGTATACAACTCTAATGATAGAGTCACGCACAATGTGGGTCTCAGCATCCTTTATTTTATGTTTTTGTCATATTACCTCAAACGTTGCAAATAGAAGTGTTCATGGAATCATGGGAAACGGTGTGCATTGCCGTGTGATAGCTGTTATAAAGGTGATTGACAGGTCATACTTGTTTCAACTCTGGAAGAACAGTTGGAATTTACCAGGTGTGCTTGTGATTTACATAACAAAGGGTGTGAATCTACCAGGGGCGCTGCTTGCCTACATGAGACAGCTGCTAGCAAAAACACATTCTGATTGGCTCATGTGGAAACCCAGGTGGTGTCCCTGAATATGGGCCATTTAGGCCTATAAATAGGCTACACAGAGGACATTTGGGTCCAATTCAACTAAGTATATTGTGTGTAGCTGCTGCGATATTGGGGAGACAAGTAATACAGGCTTCAGTCATCATTCTATGAGAGTTTTTTTATGAACTGCTCTTTGATATGCTGGTGTCAGCGGTGCCCTCCACAATGACAGCATTCCTCTGCAAGCAAGACTCCTGTATTTCTTCGTTGTTGTGTTGCAGAAGCCATTGACTGTCATCTATTTCTACATCCTGGAACTGCGAGTTTCTACCAATGCACACTTCTTTAGGCAAACCATATTTTTGTGCATTTATTCACTGTATTTTTCTCTGCTTTGTTTCTTGTAATTATTTTGAGATGTTTTCAATTCAGGAGCTTTAACTCGATATTTTGGTGTATGTGTATTTCATTTCCAGTGCTATTGTCTTGTCCACCCCATTCTAGCAGTGAAAGAACCCCCTGTCCAAAGTGAGTTCTGTGGGTGGTCCTCTGAATAGCAATAAGCACGTCTTACACTGTGACAGTGGAATAATATTTCATTTAACTTCCAACATTTCTCGATCTGCTGCTATTACAAAAAGTCAAATATATGTAATGTATCATCAAGATATTATTCTTTCTATTGTTTTCACCTCCTATATCTGACCTGTTTGACCCTAAAACCATAACACCATTTCAAAGGCAATTTGAATATTAACTTCATTTGGTTTTTCTATTTTTCAATAAAGGTAATGTTTTGGAGAGATTTTACTATGTTCTAGACAGTCGAAACCCAATTGTCGATTAAAATGTCATTGCCTTCATTCATCCATATACGTCATTTTGACGTCACAGTGGCGCATGTAGACGGGGATTTACATATTAATAATGCATTGCTACAGTCAGGTCGCTGGTTAAAATATTGTACTACATTCTAGTTGACTGACCACTGCACACCAACACTCAGTTATCGAATGAAACAATATGACCAATATGACCGACACCCTTTGATGTCACACAAGCACCCGTCTCTGGACGTGAATTATTGTTGCAGGGATATATTGCTGTTGCAATTTTGATTAAATTACCACTGTTTATCACTCAAGCTATATTTATAATGGGTAAACTAACGTTTGTCGGGCAAATAAGCAGCGGATAATGATATATTTAAAAGTATCTGAGCATCGCCGCTGGATTAGATGCATATGTGAGGCTGAATTAAAGCTTTTCTAATGTATATTATGTGACTTGTACAACAATAAATGGGGTAATCAGCATCAACATACAACATCGGACAATCTTTTCAACATTAAACACCATTATTTTGCTTCTCTAGAAATATTGAAGAATATTAGAAATAAATGTGGAAAATTTCATGAGAAGGTCTGGTGGTGAAAAAGTAGGAATTCATTTCTTTGTTGTCAGTAAATGAAGACCAGGTATAATTTAAGAATTAATGGAATGATTATTTAAATTATATGACTCCGATCATGCTGCGCTCGTCAGTCGAAAAGATGATGTCATACGACAAGCCTTGGTATTTGACGATTTAATATGATATTGAGTGTTTTACTGATACTGCAATTATGTTCGTAATCTGGAAGACAATGTCAATCGTGAAGCACATAAGACTTTACCAGCTCTAAGTGAAAGTCCTGGTGAAACTCGTAATATATATCCCATTGTTCATGTTACTACCGCATGTCACGATACATCGACATAGTTGTATCGCTGTACTTAACACAGATGGCTCATACCACGTTAAATTTTTAATGAGAGATCTCCTTATACAGTGCCTGTTTATGACTAGTATTCACTATGAACTGCAAATTTATCTGCAAACAATAATACGTGTCCGCACTAGCAAAGATCGGTTCATATCAGCCATCGATTTTTTAGGTTGTTTTATCGAAGAGGAAAGTGCGCTTCACAGCACAAACAATCAGCGATCAAACATTTACAGAATAAGGATTTTCGTTGGTGTAATGGTGTGTATTTGCAGTCGTGGCGAGAAGATCATCGCGAAATGGCAAACACAAAATGCACAATCGGAAACCAGTTTGGTCGTAATGGAATAACAAAATCTATATATTAGTGTCATATAATTAGAATATAATAAAAACAAACTTTCAAGACCGACAATGTGATATGTGCCAAGGAGTACGTGGATATACCAGTATTTCAATATATTACACTGTAAATTATGCATTTGTATTTGACAAAATGGTTACGCCATTCTTGTTCCTCGTCTGATTCGGTGTGTTCATATACCTTGGATACGTTGAACATATTTCAAACGTTGATAAGTTATAAAATCTCTGGTGACATAAAAAGTAGCATATGTGATTCATTGACCCGAGTGGGCCGTGGTGATGCATCCTCGTAGTTGGCGCTGTTTGTGCATCGGAATAGATATGTCGAGTATTCTACTCCATTTATCATTTACATGAGTTTTAAAACATGAGCAGAATCCTGTAGTACGACATTGTGCTCAATGTTTCATTGCCTGTATAAGTTTTGATTAAAGCTTCCTCAAACCATCTTTGTACTAATTAGTACTAATTTGTACTTTGGACTAATTCACAAATGACGCAATTACACAGACTCTTATTTCATTCCATATTTTTAATTACAACCAAATACAATGAAACGTTGGTAAATAACCCCTTCACCAATACAATAATAAACCTTAGACGCCAATTGCCGCCGAGAACTTTCGACTGTCAACTACTCTACCATGGCAACAAAGCTATTTGGAAACGTACTCAGTAATTCATATCCAAAAGGTATTTCGGAGTGGTTGATTAATATTTCTTAAAAGCTGATAACAAGTTATACACGTAGGCCATATAATGATGTAACCGCAAAAGAAAATTGAACAATTTTGAAACTAATCCTGCACCCGAAGAATGATTACCGATAATTGTGAAGCAGCTGTACGAGTGCTCAATATCATTTTCATCACTTTAATAACTCGATCAATTGCACCTGTTAAGAAAGAGAATGCGTAAACCATGTAAGTCTATGAATACCTGTCAATTTATGATAACTTTCATATATTTTGTAACAAATAATCATATACTTCACAGTAGAAGGTTTTTTTCCCTAGAACCTGATTGCTAGCTTGTAATGGCTTTTGATTTTTATCTAGAAATAAACTTATTTAACAGTGAACCAGCATCCGAAGCAATATATATATAATTACCGGGAGGATAGAAATGGGTAAGAAAGTTACATACAAATTTGTATTCAACAAATTATAGTCACATGCAACGATCACTCTATTATAACATGTTATTGCCATTGAGATTATATTTTGTCGACACTGGTTTATTTAATGTGATTATTCATCTATCTCAAATAGTTTTGAAAAGGACAACTTTAATGATGAAAACTCAAACCATTTGCTATGGAGCAAGTTTGTTTAAAAGAACTTCTCACTACTGCCAGCTTATTTAAATGACACTTTTCGCAACATTCTTAGGATTTTAATCTATTTAAAAAGGGGTGACCATAAGACATGAACCAATCACTTATATTTTTAGGGGAGATCTGAATCTGGTTTTCGTGGGGTCATGACTTTTGGAAGATTCTTCCCCAGATAAAGGCACTGTCGGGATAAGTTTTTCAAATTCCGGAGTGCTTTCTTAGTATATATTAGTTTGGTCGCTTTTTCTATATATATATATATAGAAGCGATAAAGAAAACTGACCGCTATCTCGACTAAAGTACTGTTAGTGTATTATATTACTTACTGAATGCCTTGTATTTTCCAACTTTCACCAAATTCAAAGGCATTATCCGCAATAGTACCATCTGGCTTTTGGAAATCATCATGGATATTGTCGTTATAATTGCCCAAAAGTCCACACAGATTACCACGATAGTCTGAACCAAAAATATGAACGTTGAAGACGTGTTTCCGCAAAGTCCAATCCAATTTGAAGACGGTATTCCTCAATGTGAAACTCACTAACACCTTTTCGTGTACTTGAGAAACATCGATCTTTGTTAGCCCAGACAATCCATTAAGATTTCCCTGTTAAAGAAATTTGAATACATTATTGGTATCCCATTTCTGGCGACTACCTGTGTGTTTTTTAACGAGTTTATTCAATAAGAGGACGTAGAACGAAATGTTGTTATATTTTTGTGTTGACCCAGAAGACCTTGTTTTTTCAATAACAAAATAATACTTTTAAGAGTTTGTCTATATTCTATCCGATGAACGACTTCATAACTACACCCATTCGTCTACTTGAAGGAAAAAGCTTTAAATCATAATTTTTAGGCCGCTGTGGATGTTGTCATTGAATGAAGCCCACACGGTTCAAAGAGCACTGGTCAGTTGTAGATTATTTACATATGCTGTAATTAACTTACTGTAACTACGTCAAGTCCATTTATGTGAACATATTCATCGCCAACAGTTATGTTAATAGCAACGGCCCTGGTTTTGATTTCTTCATTGGTGCCGTATTCTCGAGGCTCGAATTTAGCAGTTATTTTGAAATCTGGTTTGACACTGGAGCAGTCCTTTACCAGAGTGTACCAGCATATTCCTTGATGGCTGTAATGGCGACCATCCAATGTGGTGTAGTGAGGATCACATCTAACAGCGCCACCAGCTGTTGAAATATCATAAGAATTAGTTAACCAACTATGATACACACTATTACCATGATAATAGATGCCAATGTACTACATACTAGCGATATCTCGTGTCAGTTTATGAAGCAAGCTACACACCTTCAGGTATACTGAATACGAATTCAAACTGACTTTTTGACGATCTGTCTTCAAATGATACAGCACAGTCACGTCTCCGTAGCATATTAATGTCAGTATGCACCATTGGGTAAACGCCTCCGTGGGCTACATTTTGTTGCATATACGAAGTCAAAATGATCTTTGTACGAATAGCTACGTAGAGCAAACAACAGTCGTATATTGTGTAACAATAACCTGGTTTGTATTATTTACTTCAGAAAATACTCACAGCATATATCGATATCTCTGACCTCTACGGTTCCTTTAATATCAAGGGTGTCTAGATCCCAGGCATACACATCAGCCACCAAAGCATTCGGATCGTCATTCATGACATCATTGATCTGACTAGTGCTGAGAACGCTTCCCCACAGGTTGAATTTCGTCATCCAACCAACAAACGCTCGACCTGGGAGATAACCTCCTCTCAAAAGATCTTGACGCTGACCAAGTACGAGAACACCACCTCCCGTGATCGTTTCCCCTTGTCCTTCGAAGCCCCAATCATCCAAATTACCATCAATATATATCTCCCAGCGACCAGTAGTAGACGTCCAGGTGAAGCACAGATGATGGCACTTACCATCGTTTACTGATGTTGTTGACGCTCCGAAAAGGTCATCCTTGATATGCAGTTTGGGGCCACTAAGTCTCCAGGCTAGTATCTCGTTGAGTTGCGTATCACTTATAGCGTAGGAGAATATTGCTACCTTGTTGTCAATGGAGTTGATCCACACACAGGCAGTGAATTCAGTGAGTTCTGGTATTGGCGTAGTGAGGGCTACATCAGACTGTTTGTACAAGTCCAGAAGTTTGCAGTTTGCTAGAATATCCACAGAATGAGAATGATCAATAACATCGTTGCAGTTCACAAAGAAGTATCCAAATATTCATCTGGCCACAGAATGTATTTTTTTGAGAAATCTCAGAAATATAGAATAAAAACAGCATAAAAGGGATTATATAGATTGTTGCATCATGTAGATTATGCAGATCACTGAATGGAAATTGGGCATCTGGATTGAAATTCGCGCAAGAAAATTGAAAAATGCACAATGCAGATTGAAACTAGCATAACGAAGATTATTACTTTGACTTGTAGATTGAAATTTGCAAAATAAAGCTTTAAAAATGCACAATGAAAATAAGAAATCGAATATTACAGATTTGAAATGGTACAATGTACATTTGATATCAATTGCCTAATAAACAATACCCATATACTTACTGTGCTCCTCTCTGGATTTCTGAAATTAAAATGAGTGAAATGAAATGAATGATTTAGTATCATAAAATCACAACGTGCGATAAACGTTGCATAGTTATACTATTTTATAGAGTATAAAACAGGCTTGCTTGGTTTGAAACATGTTTCCATGGCAGTAATATGTCACCTGCAAATGAGTACGTTCGTAGTATATATGTATTGTAGGCAACGCCGTAATGAAGTATGTGTCTGTAATTGAGACCATGGTTACCCCATACCTGTTCCTGGTCTGAGTGAGTGCTCCATATGTGTCTTGTTCACAGGATATTAATTACTGACTGTGTCATATATGGCTGAGGAAAGTTGTCAGTTTATTTTTATCTTCGGTGTTGAGGTATTTTAAAATTATTAAGTAACGCCAGAATAATAATATGGTACGTGATGAATGTAATTCAGGTTTTATTGGCTATATCTGATGCGGTATGATGTGGTCTGGTAATGACCTAACAAATTCACTTTCCGTACTGCTGCGTATTATTTGGGAAAGGTGTCTAAAAATATTGTGCATGCACTGTCTATTTTTGCAAGTGCTTTCCAAATAAATGTGTTTCTCGTAATATTAAAGTTTGTCGTCTGTTCGATTTATTCTGACAAAATATCGTATTACCTTGTCAACTGTAGCCGCCATCACATGGAAGACACACAGACACGCGGTGACGTAGAAAAGTAAATACAACTTCATCCTAGAAACAAAGACTAAATTTAATTGGTTCTGAGCGTTAAAACAATTCACACTGCCAGTAAATTTATTGAAACAACGGAATAGACAAATGGCCGTTTCATGAAGATGACTCTCATCAGACATACTTTCCCTGAACAAGTAATTAAGGTGAAATATCGTAGTCACGGCTTTGTGATTACGTTCCTCGTGTGATTTACATATGTATTATACCAAGGTGGTTTGAGCTTCACAATATATTAATTAATCGAAGAGAATAACAGAAATATGGACGTTCTAATTTGAATTAAACAATTGACACAAAGAACTCCAAAAACACGAGCATACCTTTTTAGGACGGTTGTTCGAGGCCCGTTTGCATATTTCGTATTTGTAATGACATACTAGTGTATAATTTCATCTTGAGGCCAAGACGTGATATCCAATTCCCATTATGGAGAACAAGTCGGATTGTTCATGCTAATTTTTTTTTTTTTTTTTTTATTAACAAATAATATAAAAGTACATCACAAACAATAGTGGTAGGTGGCAAAGTATTGGTATTTATAAATATGCAATGAATGTACGGGCTTATAATAATAGATTAAGAATTACAGCCCACAATGAAGTAAATTCTTGGAATTTGCCAGCAGTTTGTGCTTGCCTTTTTTTAACTAGAATCTTATTTTTCAATTCTCGTAAGAAGCCATTAAAACTAATATGAAAAGAACGGTTTCTGAAATATTTTTGCTTGTATATGTACCATTTTCCAAGTAAAATACAGTAATTCATAATGAAATTGTCTCTATTAAGTGGTATTAATCTAAACATTACATCTTTATCTTTAATTATCGACCGATTTCTAATTTGTCTTTTATATCTAAAGTCCTTGAACGTGTCGTTGCATCCAGAGTGAAACAACATTTAGAGAATTATTCATTGTATGAAGAGTTTCAATCAGCGTATCGGACCGCACGTAGCACTGAAACGGCTCTTTTGCGGGTCGCTAACGATGTACTATGCAGTATTGATAATTCTAAGAATTCAGTTGCTCTCGTACTTTTGGATCTTTCAGCCGCTTTTGATACTGTGAATCACAGGATTCTCATCGATAGGTTGAGATCAAATTTTGGTTTAAATGGTCTCATCATCAAATGGTTTGAGTCGTATTTGAGTAACCGCATTCAAAAAGTGAAAATTGGAAATGTATTTTCTGATATGACGTCTATATTAGTAACCGGTGTTCCACAGGGCTCTGTCTTAGGGCGAGTTATTGCGACGTCACGGCGTAAAATATCATTTTTACGCCGATGACACACAGATTTATTTATCGGTTTCTGAAGATGATCAAATTCGCGCCCGGGTGATACTTCAGACATGTATTCAAGATGTTAGCGATTGGATGTCTTGTAATTTCCTACTTTTGAATGTGTCGAAAACTGAATTTGTGTGCATGGCGTCTCGGAGATTCTCACAAGACTCGTGTCCTTTGTCTAGTATCGCAATTGGTGAAGAATTGGTTAGTGCTTCGTCAAGTGCTAGAAACTTAGGTGTCTTGTTTGATTCGCAGCTATCTATGGAAACACACATTTCTACTATTTGTAGATCTGGATATTCCCATCTAAGAAATATTAATCGTATTCGTAAATCATTATCCCAATCTGATACTGAAAAGTTGGTACATGCTTTCATATCTTCTCGCTTAGACAGCTGTAATTCAT